GTGGCGCCGGGCCGCAGGTGGTGGCGCTGCAGGTGCGAGTGGTGGAGGCCGAGCAGTTGTTCGCCGAGGTGACCGAAGTGGCGGCGCTGCGGCGCCAGTGGCTGCGCGACGCGCTGGCCGTCTACCGCATGTTCGGCGAGGTGCACGCCTGCGAGCTGTGGATCGGCGAGAAGGAACAGTGGCTGCTGGCCATGCGCGTGCCCGACTCCCTGGACGACGTCGAAGTGGTGCAGCACCGGTGAGCGCGCGCGCTCCTGTGCGGAGGGGAACGGGACCCCCCCCTCCCTCGTGCAGCCCAGTCTCGCCTTCGTGGGTTCAGCAGTTCCGTGGTCCTCACGAGCAGCCAGAGGGTCCAGTCCCCCTGCTGCATCTGTACCCAGTTTGGGGACATCCCATATACCACTAACCTTACCTCTCTGAACCTCAGCCTGCCCAGCTGGAGAATGGGGAGATTAGTCCCAACTCTACAGTAAAATGAATGAGTTGATATGTGCAGGCACTTCACACAACGCCTAGAGCAACGGGGAGCATCCTGGGAGTGTTCGCCCGACACATTAGCTCCTTTATGAGGCTCAGCCCCCACTCCATGGCCTCCCAATGCCCTTGAGCAAATCTTGTCTGACAGTAAATGTTCCTTGAATGAGCGCACGGGTCTCATGAGTCACCTCCTTAGAGAGTAAAATGTTAGACAGTCACCTGCTGTTGGGTGCTTAACGAGGATTGGTCTCAGGACCCCTACCCCCACCCCAGACCGAAATAACCGAACTCACGGCCATAAAGTCGATTCTGACTCATAGAGACCCCATTGGACAGAGTATAATGGCCCCTGGAAGTTTCTAAGACTGTAGCACTTTAGGAGCATGGAAAACCTCATCTTTAAAAAAAAAAAAACAACAAAGAATGAAAGCCTCATCTTTCTCCCACAGAGCACTTAGTGGTTTCAAACTGCTGACCTTTCGGTTAGCAGCCCAGTGCATAACCCGGTACACCACTGGGGCTCTGCACAGCCTCCAGTCTACATTCAATTGTGGGCTGCTTACCCTGCAAGGTCGGTAGTTCAAACCCACCAGCCCCTCGGTGAGGGAAAGATGAGGCTGTTTGCTCCGGCAAAGATCGACAGCTTTGCTTGTATAGGCGGCTCTGAGTCAGAATCAGTGGTTGGGCTTGGTTGGTAGATTCGCTGTAACACCCACCACGATGTGAAGAGCCAAAGGCTCCAAAAACAGGCTGTCTCTGTGGAGTTGCTATGGCCACTTAATTCCTCTCGTATTTTCTTCTCTCAAATATTTCCCACCTCTGGGGTTGAATCTAGGGTTGGGGAGCCCCTGAATGAGAAGGGCCAATTGGATGCATTTGCTTTTGTGACCATCTTAGTAATCAACCAAATGCACAGTCATCCAGTCGATTCTGACTCATGGCAATCCTACAGGACCAGGTAGAAGTGCCCCTGTGGGTGTCTAAGACAGTAACTCTTTAAGGGAATAGACCACCTCATCTTTCTCCCAAAGAGCGGCTGGTGGTTTCAAACTTCTGACCTTGCGATTAGCAGCCTGACTGGTAACACCATCAGGGCTCTTCAACTTAGTGATGGCTTGCTCCTCCTCCACCTCTCTTTCTGACCATCTCCGCCATCCTCCCTGCATTCCCCAGCTGCTTACTGAAGGTCTGCTGGGCATTTCTGGAAGCACAGGGCCTGTTGTACCCTTCATCTTCCTGAGGTTATCAATTTTACAAGCCCGGGAGGATCATGGTCACATTAGAAATGTCCTCCCGTGTGTCTTGGACGGTGTGAGAATGGTGACTGGGAGGCCAGAGGGACAGCTGGGTGGGGTTCCAGGTGGGAGGGATGGCTGGACCAGGGCAGGGCTATAGGCAAAGGGAAGAAAGACTCAGGAGGCCCAGGAGGCGGTCCCGGGGGTGGCTGACAGAGTGAGGTGGGACTGTCCATGTGGAGGCCCAGGCCCAGGCTGCTCCTGGGATGGAGACCCAGGTGCTTAGACCAACTTGAGTTACAGTAGGTGTGAGGGGCCCGGAGGACTCAGACGAAGAATGTGCTTGCTGTTGGAGATAGGTTCAGAGAGAGAGAGAGAGAGGTTGAGTCTGGAGACTGAGATGTCGGGGAGCCATGAGGGCACAGGGTGAGGATCAAGGTTGGGGGGGATGGCTGAGAGAGTCGAGGGAGGGGTCGAGGGGAAAGAGCTCTCCAGAAATGAACTTTAGGTGGCAGGTAGAAGAGAGGACCCCGAGAGGGTGAAGTTAGAAAGTTTGGAAGAGAACCAGCAGGCAGTTTTCTAGAAGCCAAGGAAGTGGGCCGGTCCCCAGGGTCCAGGCCTCTGAGCATCTCCAACCTCCTGCTGCAGCTTCGAGAGCCTGGACCAGGAGATGAACAGTCTGATGGGCCGTGTCCTGGATGTGAACCACACGGTCCAGAAGCTGGTGGAAGGAGGCCACCCCAGCTCTGACGAGGTCCGCTCCTGCCAGGATCACCTCAATAGCAGGTAGGTGGGGCCTGGGGTGGGCGGGAAGTCCTTCCTGGTATCTGATGCCCCTTCTCTCCATCATTCCCTCCCCCACTCATTCCCTTCGTTCTTCAGCCACTCAGCAGTGGAACCCAGAGAGAGGCAGTCTGAAACCCCCGAGATGACAGCAGTCAGCTGTAGTATTAAATTAAAAAATTGGCGCTGAGGGAGGGAGGTAGGGGGCCAGCCCCCACCTGCTGCTACTCCTATTATTACTACTCGGATTCAGTAATACTACTTCTGGGTTCAGTAATGCACAATTGTACGGTTGAGATATATAAGTATTAGATTAGAGTCATTGAGAGCATGAGAGATATTACAATAATACAGTCAGACATGTTACATGGCAACATTGCTCACCTCAGCCCAGCTTGGTGGTTCACGTGGAGAGAGGGGGAAGGGAAGGAGGGAAAGGGAACAAGGGAGAGGGGGAAGAGAGTCAGGGAGGTCAGAGTCCGAGCAGTCCGAGAGCTCTATATTGCTGACCCATGCCTATATACCTTTTGGGGGCATGCCTCACAGGGAGGGGTTACACTATAGAGTACCCAGTAATGAGAGGGTGGTCTCTTGGTCTCCATAGAAACCATTATCAGTAGGGTGCAAACTCCTCCTACAGGAACCAAGCTAATGGCCTTAGGCTCCAGAGAGAGGTAACCCATTGTCTCCAGCAGCAGAGAGTAGGGCTAGTGCAGCCTGACAACTGATTGCCTTCAGGGGAGGGAATGCCTGCGCATCTGACCTCCCCCGCCACAGTCAGCCAGTAAGCCAACCAGATCTTGGGGGTGAGGGTAAAAGCTAGTCCCAGTGATGATGTGGTAAAGTGAGGCTACAACACTTTTCAGTGGGCTCTTCGTTGGTGGTTGGTGTACTCAGAAGCTACTTAGTCTCTACTATCTGCCAGGACATTCCCCCAAAGACTTTAACAAACATTGGCCTGATGTCATCTCCCAATAGCTCAGTTTCCCCAGGAAACTCTCTAAGAATAGTAACGCACGCGTTACCCACCCACTGCCAGCAGTCCTGGAATACTGCCAGCTGGCGCCCCCCACCGCAGTGTGGGTAGGCTTCACCCAGGAAGACACCCCCCACCCCCCAGGGAGATGAAATCCAGATCCCAGAGCCCTCAAACTAGTCAGTAGGCCTCAAACCTGGCTCTGCCTGAATCCAAGATCCAAGGCTGGGGCTCGGAATTACGTATGTTTATTCTTCTTCCCAGAAACCCAGTGGGTTAGGAACTGGGGCCCAGGGAAATGAAGACATTCAGCAAAACAGGAGCCAGAACCTGACTGGAACCGAGTTTGCCTTACTCCCAGGACTGTGCCGGGCTCTAAGCTTCTAATACCTGCACCTTCCAAGCCTCTGCACCCTCCCCCTCAGCCATCAAGTCTCTTCCAACTCACAGCGACCCTATGGGGCAGAGTGGAACTGCCCATGGGGGATCCCACGGCTGTAACGCTTGATGGAAGCAGACAGCCTCCTCTTTCCCCCACGAGGTGGTTGGTGGTTTCGAACTGCTGACCTTGCACTTAACAGCCCAACTCGTATCCACTATGCTGCCAGGTGTCCTCAATAAATGAGTTAGGTGTTATGATTGGGCCCATTTTATTGGTAGGGAAACTTAAGGTTCAGAGAAGGTCAAAGGTTCTGCACTGGTAACCTTGACCACACACATTGCCTAAAAAGGGGCCCTGGGGCCCAGTGAAGGACTGTCACCCTCCCATGACACAAACCATCCCTCGTTTCCCTTCCCCCAATTCATTTCATGTGAAATAAAACAAGCTGGCCTTCGGGCCTCCACATCCTCCACCCTCTGCTCATTGTTGTTGCCTAATCAGGAGTTGCTGGACCCACCGTGGTGTCTGATGTTCAAAGCAGCTTTCGACGCTTTTCAAAAACAACGAGAAAACTCGACAAGCTGTTAGTTTTGCATGGAGATCCATCAACATTTACTCCACCAGAATTCAGATGGCAAAGATTTCTAGATCATTAAAAAAAAAAAAAACATTAGTAAACCTATGGAAACTCCCGACTCATGGTGACCCTATAGGGCAGGTAGAACTGCCCACGGGAGTTCCCAAAACTGTAACTCTTGCTGAGAGGAGAGAGCCTGGTCTTTCTCACAATAAAACTATTACAACCTCACTTTTTAGTTTTAAGTGAAAAATATCTTCCCAACCAACAGTGGTAGGGAGAAGAGCGGCATTGTTTGTGCGTGTTTGCAAAACTCTTCCCTATCTGGCCTGAGAGAAGGCAGCTGGCCTCCCAGAGGCGCTTCTGTGGCATCATCGCTGGAGAACTACCATCCTCCTGGGAGAGAATCAGCCAAAGGCAGATGATGTTTTAGTACTACTGGGAACTCCCGAAGGAGCCTTGGCGGCCTAGTGGTTAGGAGTTGGGCTGCTAATCTAAAGATTAGCCGTTCCAAACTGCCAGTCACTCCAAGTGTGAAAGACGAGGCTTTCGGCTCCAATAAAGAGTTAGTCTCTGAAACCCACAGGGGCAATTCTGCCTCGCCCTTATACACTTGTTATGAGTCGGCGTGGGCTAGACATGGGTTACAACGTTGAGAACCGTGCAGCACATGGGCCAGATTCTAGTACCATTTTACAGGCTAGAAATCGGGACTCGGTGAGCTAAAGATCCAGGCCTTAGGTTGGCCCCGGATCTCCTGGCCCTGGTTTAGCCCCCCTCTTTCCCTTGGCGTAGGTGGAACCGTATCGTGGAGCTGGTAGAACAGCGCAAAGAGGAGATGAGCGCGGTGCTGCTGGTGGAGAACCACGTGCTGGAGGTGGCCGAGGTGCGCGCCCAGGTGCGGGAGAAGCGATGGGCCGTGGACAGCGCGCCCCGCGCGGGTGGAGCCCTGCAGTGGCGCCTCAGTGGCCTGGAGGCGGCTCTGCAAGCGCTCGAGCCTCGCCAGGAGGCTCTCCTGGAGGAAGCGGCCCTCCTGGCCGAGCGCTTCCCCGCGCAGGGGGCGCGGCTGCGCCAGGGCGCCGAAGAGCTGGGCACCGAGTGGGGCGCACTGGCGAGCGCAGCGCAGGCCTGCGGCGAGGCAGTGGCGGCGGCTGGGCGCTTGCAGCGTTTCCTGCACGACCTGGACGCTTTCCTGGACTGGCTGGTGCGCGCCCAGGAGGCGGCGGGAGGCGACGAAGGGCCCCTGCCGGGCAGCCTGGAAGAGGCGGACGCGCTGCTGGCGCGCCACGCGGCGCTCAAGGAGGAGGTGGGCCAGCGCGAGGAGGACTATGCGCGCATCGTGGCGGCCAGCGAGGCGCTGCTGGCGGGAGAAGGCGCCGAGCTAGGTCCGGGCCTGGCGCTGGACGAGTGGCTGCCGCATCTCGAACTGGGCTGGCACAAGCTGCTGGGCCTGTGGGAGGCGCGCCGGGAGGCGCTAGTCCAGGCGCACGTCTATCAGCTCTTCCTGCGTGACCTGCGCCAGGGGCTCGCTGTGCTTCGCAACCAGGTGCCCACCAGCTGGCCTGCTCTGATTCTCGGGCGGCTGGGGGGTTGGGGGGACTTGGGAGGGGGGGAGCGCAGGAAGCGGGTGGGTGAAGGAAGAAGTATTGGGGACGGAGAAATTCGTCAGTGTGGGTGAAGGGGTAGGGGAGGCAGTGGGGGAGTCTGCGAGACCACTGAGTTTGGGGCTGAACTGAAATGGGTGGGAGCTGAGCTGGATTCTGGGATGGGTTCCAGGGTTCATGGAGACCCTGGGGTGAGTGTGCGGGCTCGTGTGTGAAGACAGTGTGTGGATGATGGTATCTCAAATTCACCATCATCCCTAGCCCATCCTGATTCACAGTGATCCCATAGGACAGGGTACGCCCCTGTGCGTTTCTGAGACTGGCACCACGGAAGCTAGTAGAAAGCCCTGTCATGGTCCCGGATGGTGTCTCAGGTGGGGTGGAAGGAAAAGATCATGGCCCTTTCCCATCAGCCTTTGAAAGCTTCCCCGGGGACTTTGTGAAGGATCCAAGTAAGGAGTTTAACCCTTAGCTGCGTGGCTGGTTGGGTTTGTGGATTTCCCAGAGTAATGGAAATGCAGGTAACCCATGATGGTTGATAAGATTCACAGAAGGTCTCCGGGTGGGTCGCTGAACCCAACCTGATGGTGAGGAGTCAGTGGGTGATAGGTGGCTGTGGGACATGACATCTGCAAACTGCTTTCTGTCTGGGGAGGGGGTGTCATGGTTTGCAGGTTCTCTGCAGAGGATAAGTGTGTGTGTGTGTGTGACTTGAGAGACCAAATGTAATGGCTCGGTGGGGACAAGCGATCCAGTTTGGAGAGTGTTTCTTTGGGGAAGGAATTCACAAGGCCGACAGTTTGAACCCACCAGCTGCTCCAGGGGAGAAAGATGAGGCTGTATGCCCTCATCATGTTGGACAGTCTTGGAAGGCGACAGGGCCAGTTCTACGCTGTCCTCTAGGCTCGCTGGGATCCTGAATCAACTCGATAGCAGTGGACTGGGGGTGACTTGGTTCCTGCATTGGCAGACTCTATGCTGGACCTGGGCACATGGCAGGACACCAGACCTCCTCGAAACCCCACCCCCCTCTTGTGACTGCCAGTCTAATGTGTATGTGTGGGGGGAGGGGACAAGAATAAATGTCTATGTAACATTGAGGGGCAGGGAGCCTTGGTGACGTAGTGGTTTCCACGTTGGGCTGCAATCAGCAAGGCCCGCAGTTCGAAACCACCAGCCGCTCAGCCTGAGAAAGATGATAGGGCTTTCTACTCCCGTAAGGGAGTTACAGTCCCGGCAGTTCTACCCTGCCCTTCGAGGGTCCCTATGAGTCGGCATCGACCGGATGGCAGTCAGAATGAGTCAGAAATACGCTGTGGAGCATTCTGAAGCAGGCTGAAGGAAGGTGGCAGGGGTGGGGGTTGAGAGGTTCGGGCAAGATGATGAGAAAAGGTCTCTCTGAGAAGGTGGCATGTGAACGGAGACGTGAAGGACGGGGAGGGCTGCCAGGCAGAGAGGGACCGGCCTGGGCAAAGGCCCTGCGGTGGGCTCGTGCCTGGCGTGCCCAGTGCAAGCGACCAAGGGGGCTGAGAGTGGTGGCAAGCCCCGGGGGCAGCCCCTTCCCGGTCCCCAGCGGAGAGCGACTGACCCGTGCCCTACTGCCCCTTTCCAGGAGGTGGCGATGTCGGGCCCCGAGCTCCCGGGCACCGTGGAGGCCGTGGAAGAGGCGCTGAAAAGGCACCGGGATTTTCTCACCACCATGGAGCTGAACCAGCAAAAGATGCAGGTGGCGGTGCAGGCTGCCGAGGGCCTGCTGCGGCAGGGCAACGCCTACGGAGAGCAGGCCCAGGAGGCCGTGGTGCGGCTGCTGGAGAAGTAGGCCCCCCAGACCCCGGGGCGCACGGGGCGGGGTCGCGGCGCTGGGGACGGGCCGGAGAGCCCCCGGGCCACCGGGTCTGCATTTCCACCAGGCTCCATTCTAGATGGATGGAATAGGGTTTTCTTGAAAGGGTAGCATCGTTGTAAATTCAAAAGGATCAGAGGACTGGACCGTGCCAAGCCCCTCGGCCCCCCCCCC